CTTGACAAACTCCCAGAGCTGCCCATCTGAGGCGTGTACTCCTTCATTTTTTGGTTGAGCAGTGGCGACCTGACAGTCAACTTTTCATGTCAGGCAGGGACGTTTGACACGGGTCTCAAAGTAGTGGTCGCTGCAAGCTCCGAGCAAAGCTGAAACCTTGTGTCTGTGACAGCTTGGATGCATGCGACAGCGGCCTTGAGACGTTCATACACCATCAGACAACAGAGTGCGGCATTTGAAGAATCGCTTCTGACACAGGTTCTGGCAGTCGTAGAACTCACATACTCGTCTCTTGGCGAAGTGTGATCCGCTTCTAGAGGAAGGCTTTACGCTGTCTGCGGTTGGGATGTTCAGGTGGGGGCATTGCAGATGGATTGTTGTCGTACACATGAGGTTGGGCGGTCAGATGGAAGTAGTCTTAGATCTTGAGCTAGGCGTAGGCATGCGAAGCCGCCATGGGAACGGTAGAGCCTTGCTGCAGCCAAGGTCGCTCTTGGTAGGGTTTGCACCCTACACGCGGATGGGTGCAGCTGCTCTCTTCAGATTTGGAGGGATACGAGTTTGGAGAGATGTGTTGAAGTGATTTCCCAGAATGGCGATTCAGGTGAAGAAGTCGTTGTGATTATTCGTTGAATGAGATCATGTGGCAGTAGCTGTCAGACCCCGTGGTTCCAGACACTGACGCCCATGGACTAGCCGTGCGCTTTGCTGAGGATGCCATGCTCCTGCTCAAGGAAGCTGCTCGGCCTGGGATGACGAAAGCGTTCAATTGCTGAGCTTGGAGACCGAAGTCTTGACAGAATAGCACCTAAACCCTAAACCCTAAACCCTAAACCCCTAGACTTTGAGGCCTTGGCGCTTCTGAGGCTTCCGTGTGCTTCGGGGGGGGGGATGATTTGAGCCCTGTGCGACGAGCCCGAGTCGGAGCAACCAAGGCTATCTCAGGCATCTTGGGAATCCTCTCGCTGATGCTCTTCCTGGTAACATGGCTCCTGAGCTGAGATTTGTGCTTTTGCGGTTTAAAGCTGCAAGAATGGACCAAGTCCTAAACCGTTTCAGCTTTACAGCCTTAAAGTCTTTGCTTGAGGGTTGGGGGCCCCTCACGAAAATAAAAGCTGGGATTCCGCGCATGATGTCCTGCCGTGCTCGCTGCGCCCCCTTGCTCATGGTTCGATGGCGTGTGTGTCGTCTTTGTGTGTGTGTGTGTGTGAACCTCCCTAGCACATGGGGCCAGAGGGTCACTCCTACACAGTTTCATGGGGTTGCAGGGGGGCGGAGGGAGTGTGGGGGTGCTCCGCCCAACGAAGCTGCC